ATATCTTCAAATACCTTCAGAGACTCTGCCTTCTCAAGTAAAATTGACTTTCCTTGATAATGAACTCTGATAAAACACTCTAGCTCTTAACACGCCTTTGTTCATTTGTTAAATTTGCCCTTCTGCCCTTTAGATTAACTAGGCAAAGATCAAAAGTCACATTCATTCTTTAAAGTGTTATTTTTTGTCTCCAAAGCTTCTTTTTTTAATATCATTCATCATCTGTCATCGCAGGCACAGAGTGAACAGGCAGCAGACTGACTACAAGTATCTAAGGTTGTTTACTGCTGTTTTAAGACTCTGTTCAAAGTGCTTAAACGCCTGCTTAAATCCCATTAAAGTCAAGTGTTTACTTCATTTTAACCAGGACCTGATTGAAGTAGTGCTTTTAGAATCCAAAGAAAAAAAAAGAAAAAAAAGAAAAGAAAAAAGACAGATATGTTTTGTCGGAGCAGGGCAAGCTTTGCCTGCCTGCTGGACACTTGGGAGAGACAGACCCAAACCACGAGATTCATGTTTCAACTCAGAGCTGATGAGATTGACATTGCTCCTTCTTCCACAGCAACATCAAGCACTCTAACTGTAGAAATACTCCAGCCTATCAAAGCTTATATTTGAAAGCATAGCAGGATTCATTTGGTAAGTCAACAACTGCTGCATCACAGAAAGATCCACAAGTATCAGGACTTAGTTATGGAAGCACTGAAGCAGAACCTTTCTGTTATAATGGTTGAACATTGCATTCAAATTAAGAAAAATACCATTACCTTCTTTACTGTACTCCTTATATTTGAGGTATAAATTTCAGAGATATAGACAGGGAACTGGGCTGATAGTTCTCAGCAGGTTGTTAGCAAATTTTAAAGGCCATGTGCACTTACGTAGTATAATGATCTCAGCTATACTATTTGCTTATAAAATTTCCATTATCAAGTGTGCAACAATTGACTTAGCAACTCTGAACTCTGGAAGGATTCCATCAACTCCTAGCTGCCCTACTAAAAGCACACCTTTAACACGCTTGGTAGATAGCTTTTTAAACACTCCAGAAAGTGAAACGTTGCTTAATTTTGTTGGCTAGGTATATCACAGGGTATTTTGTACCCTCAGCACCATCAGCCACAGAGGCGTTTCAAGTACATATAACTAATTAGTAGTTTACAAAAGACAATTAGGTGTAATAAAAGACTTCACTTGCTCCAAGATCCAAATTAAGCATGAAAAGGGCACTAGACCAGTAAGAACAAACTAATAATAATAATAACAACAATAATTACAAGTAATTTTTAGTAGTTGTTAAGGTCTAGATTGTTTGTTTGCTTATTTTATTCCCAAATGTGTACTCCATTAGTATATATATTTTCAATTGTACAACACGTATCGTCTGTTGTAATGGCCATTCCAATTTTTTGTTTGTTTGTTTTTTTAACTAATTTCTTTCTAGGATTTAGGACACCTTGCAGTGCTTAAATAAAACAGAATCCAGCTCACATGTTAGGTAAGTTATAAGCAGACAGCGTCACGCAGAACAAATTATGTTTTCCTTTACTCCTACAAATATTAAACCTCTTCACCTTCCCTCTTTGTATTCTGGACTGCAGTAAGATACTGTCTTCTTCTGGTAAGTTCATCCTTCACCAGTGATTTAATAAAAACATTTTAAACAACTGTTTAGAGTAGAGCTACCAAATTGAACAAAATGTTCAAAACAAAGTTAGTCATATAGAGGTCAGAATGATATGCCAGCTTATCCTATTCTTTCCTTCTACTGTTCACTATTGTTTGTTCGACCAGCCACCTTTTCTTCACTTCCTCTCTAGTAAAAAATTATGATGCCTATATTTTGCTAAAACATTAAATGTTTCAGAATAGCTAAGTTTTCCTAAATGCGTTGATTCTGGTTTTATATGGAGTTCTAGTGAGAATAACCAATCAGTATTCCCTTTTCACTGTTTTCTTAACACATTCAAAAATGAAGGGTCATGTCTGTCTATGATATGCATCTACTTACTTGAGTTGTGAAAGTTTAAGCATCTGGAGGAATATAAAAACGACAACATATGCCATTACTGAGGCAAGTACAAATTTTTCAGTGTAGTTTCTGTGGGAGAAGATGGGGAATAACCCTGATTTTCAGTTCTGCGTAGTGCTGTCATAGAGTTTTGGTAGCCTCCTGAAGGCCTTCTGACTAATACATGTGATTAAAAGAAAACAAAAAACGTTCATAGCCTTTTTTGATCCAAATACCTGGCAATGCTCACCAAGGTTCTCTTCTGCACTACTGTCAAAAGACTTCCAAGACTAACACAAGTCAAAGAAGGATAGCCTGAATGCATTCTTCCAATTCTTCCCTTTTGTTTTGCATTTCTCACTCCTTACCCCCTCCACATGAAGTCATACATACTGTTTATAAACATCCTACACGAAGCGTGGCTACAGACCAAGAATATCTCCAAAAGACAACATCATATGAGTTACCAGGTCAGGGAAGCATTATGAAATAAGCACAGTAATTTTACTGATGACTAACAAAAAATTTAAAATAACTATTTCGTATGTTTCTAATGTTTGCCCTTTCCATTCACAAGATGCTATGTTTCTCTGTACAAGAAATGGCACAAAAAACATTACCATGCCTTAACGTGATAATGATCAAATGTTTTTCAACAGACACTTGCAAGACAAAAAGTAACATAAGAGAAGAATGTGAAAGCCTAGGAAATAGTTATTAATATTTTAAATCTTCCAAACCACTTCCATTGACAAATTTGTTCTAACACAACTTTGTTGAGTTAAAAAGTTTCTGGATGCCACCAGAGAATAAGCATCAAGCTAATGCCATCCGTGAACAGAACTTAAAACTGATTTCCAGCATAGATAAACTAAAAATAGATTGTGTGAAATTTTCTGCCAGTACTGATTCTGGATTCTGAACAGAAACTTGAAACTTCTTCCATTTTCTCAAATACGTAGATATTACGTGGCTATTCTGAACACTTCTGTCCCTTCATTTCCCCTACTCATTCACCAAACAAATAACCTTACACAAACTCACTTCTGATGTTTAGGCTTTTAAAAAAGGCTGCAAAAAGACAAAAGCAGTTCACTTCACTTGTGATAGGACGGTATTATCTTTGCTGCCTCACTGTCCCTCCTGTGAGACCACTGCCACTGAACATCTAGAGATGGTCTCAGTGACCATTAATTTATTAAAAGTTGGAGCATTTCAAAACATTTACAATAATGCTGTTCACATTAGAAAAGCTTTATTCAAGTGCAGCTAACTGTAAAACACCAATATAATTTCTTCAGTAAGTCATTGTGGCAACATTTTAAGTTATACTTAACAATTTTACCTCAAATACAGTCATGGGATTCTACAGTTTCAAAAACCTCTTATTTTTATGCAGCAGATTTTCATTCTCATATGTACGTGGATATGAGAATACCAGAAAGCATTTTGATATCAGTATTAATGGAAGACATTAATCACAGAATGGCCAGAATTGGAAGGGACCTCAAGGATCATGAATCCCCAACTGCCCTGCCACATGCAGGGTCACCAACCTCCACATTTAATACTAAACCAGGCTGCCCAGGGCCCCATCCCACCTGGCCTTGAACACCTCCAGGGACAGGGCATCCACAACCTCTCTGGGCAGCTGTTCCAGCACCTCACCACTCTCTCTGCAAAGAACTTCCCCCTGCCATCCAATCTAAATCTTCCCTCCCTCAACTTAAAACCATTTCCCTTTGTCCTGCTGTTATCTACCCTTCAAAAAGTTGATTTCCCTCCTGTTTGTTGGCTTCCTTTAGGTACTGAAAGGCTGCAGTGACGTCACCCCACAGCCTTCTCTTCTCTAGGCTGAACAAGCCCAGCTCCCTCAGCCTGTCTTCGTATAATAATGTAATAATATGTAAAGAAAACAACCCTCTTATTAAATACAAAATCTTAAATAAGTTTAAAAATTTTTAAAAGGTCAATAGATGTGATCAATAGTATGTTTTAGTATATTTCTGCACTGGAAGATACTTAGTCCTCAATAATTACAATAGATATAAATGTGACTAATATAAATGAGTGGATTTTTTTTTTAAATATGAATAAATATTAGGAAAGCAAGCACAGTTTAAGAGCTTTCATATTGGTTTATGGTGGAATATCACACAATAAGATGTAGTTCTACTAGCTGAATTTAATTGATCAGAGTACTGGAAAAACAATCTTTTTTTTAAATGCTTACCTGATTCTTCCATATTAAGAAAATGCAATAAACCCTATTAACACAGTTAAGAAAGAAGTGAAGCACAACTATATTTAAAAAAAAAAATCAGTTCTCTATACTTTACACGATAAATAAGTTTACAGTACAAAGAAAATGTTTAACTTCTAATAAAGCATCCAAAATCTCAGATACTGTTTTTTAGAAAAACAAACTGCAATTTCCGGTAAGAAACATTGCTTTCCATAAGCAGGTCATATATTAGAATTGAAAAGTCTCTTCATACTTTGCTGAGTTCTTCTGATAAAAGCCATTGCAAATAGTTATAAACCCCTACCACATTAAGAAATGTGATGTTAAGGGGAAAGAAATAAACAACACACGTTCTTACATTTTACACCATGTTAACTAAGGGCTGCACAAGACACAAAACAGTGCCAATGTATGCAGCAACAGAAGAGATTTTAGGAATAAAACCAGTTCTCCAAGTTCAGAAATGTACTTCTATCCAGCAAGTTGATTTAAAAATAGCTCCCAATTGTTCCTATCAACGCCTTCTTATGTAACTTGCACATGAATATAGGTAATTTGCAAAATACAAAGTGATTTTTTTTTCTCTCTAAATCTTGTTGAAGCTGGTGCTGATGCTGAAACTTTGGCAATCTCTCCTGACATTAAATGAAACCATAAATAAGAACAAAGAAATGTAAATGGGCATGTTATTTTCCCTTCGTTTATTATAACGTTTTAGAAGTGTTACAAAGGTTTTTTTCCACCTGCTTTGAAGTTTCAGCTTTTGTTCTGAAGGTGGTTCTCACACAGGGATTGTCCTCCCTTCTCCACTTCCCTTCTCACAAATCCACCTATGCTGTGTCAGCAGCACATGAGCAGTACACTTCTGAAGCTTCCTGTAATTAAGTTCACCTTGTTGTATTATAGGTAAACATGTTCAGACTTATTTTGTATACATTTGGGAAATAATAGCTTTTACAGTCAACAGTATGAAGCAACTTGTGCTACTAAAATAAACTGTGGTGAGGACTATGTCTTCCAGCACTTTTACAAGTAGCAAATTCCCTCAGTGCTTTGGTATTTTTATCAGAAAATAATGAACATTAATTTCCATTGTTCTGTACCAGCACTAACTTATGTTCACAATAATGTTTACATTCATACTGTATCATCAGTGCACACCCAGAAGATGAGCTTCAAATGAGACAAAACGAGTACAGTTTTATTTCAGATATCCTTGGGCAGCCTGCCTGGCTTCCAACTGCCTTCCTGCAAGAGCCCTTGGACCTCGTCAGATCCTCCTCTGTCACATTTCCCATCATCACGACAATATATCAGACATGTGAGGGCAACTTAAAGCAGCAGAAAGCATGCATATTTTGCATCGGGTTCCTACGTACTCAAGTATCACATGAACAACTACAGTATAATTTTCTGGTAGTCTTCCCTGTAGAAAAACACTAGTCCAAGATCTTTCCAGGGATAGAAACCCTCATGTTTCACACCAAGACACAAGAACTAATTGACTAGGAAAAAGCTTATGCATGTGTTTCAATTGCGTTGTTTTTCCTAATGAGACACTAATACATAATTCATTGCCAAGAAATAACAGGCTGACTTTCCTTTTGCTGACTGGGACATAGAGTTGAGCAGCCAGACACTCTGGTGCAGGCCATTTCGTTCCCAGCGCAGAAACAGCAAAAGACCACAACAAAACACTAATGCTCCTCATCCCCTGTTCATGCCAGACATAGTCCTCCAGGCTATCAGGACTACTATTTCATGCACTGAAATGTTTGTTCCGGTGAAGCTCATAGAGCCCAGTGCCATGCAGCTTCCCAAACAAGCAACTCACGTCCAAGTGACCACCAAACACAGCCAGGCCAGTGACTTGTCCTCTTCGATGCCCTCTCTCAGCCATTGACTCTCACTCCCTGGGAGATTTTACCTATACACTACCCTTCCAAATCACAAAATTCCCAAAATCTGTACCTTCCACAGCGTAGGGTTTTGCCGCAGCGCAAGCCAGCTCCCTCCTTTCAGGAAAAGACAGGATTGCAGTGCTCATAGCAGTCATGTGGTGCGCAGCCAACTGGGACAGCTGGCCTTTGGGCACAAGACAACACTAAGCACCCTTTTGGTATCCCCAGCCGGCAGGGCTGCAGTAGCAAGCCTGACATCCAAGGAGACGTCTCAGGGACAGAGAAGACACCAAGGCAATACCAGCTATTATGCTGCCCATGGGGTGCAAAGAGCCCCATCAGGAGGCCAACATCAGCCCATGTAGTACAGCAGTGCCATGCCCTGCCCTGTCCCCACTCAACCTGGTGTTCCTGCCAGCAGCATTTCTACAACTCCTCCTCCTCTTCCCTATCACCATGGTGGGAAATGAGTCCAGCTGCTTCCAGCAACATCCTGAGCGATTCCTCTTCGTTTTAGAGAACAGGGACATTTCCCTGTGCTCCTGGCTACTAGCTAACTTCAGGCAACAAAACCATGACCAAAATCTTCTTTTTGCCCATTCATGAGGGTTTTTGAAGGCATGATCTCTCTCTGCCTCAGTAAAGGATTTAAATAATAATAATAATAATTAGCCACAACTCAGCTCCTTTGCACTTATCTTCCTGCCTCCACCTCCCCCCACTCCCTTCCATTATCCTACGACTACATTATGTTTGGCTAAATTGAGCGTTCTCAACATTCTGCTTTTGTATCTGCCAGACTTCTTATTTTGCCCATGCAAGCGAGAATTCCTGTGGTTTGCCACATCCTTAGACAACATGTTACGAGACCACATTTCTGCTGTATTAAAAGGACTATCCCACTACAGGCTGAACAGAGCCCCAACACATCTCTTTATGGAAAACGTTATTACCTCAGCTGTTTCCACTGATCATTAGGACGAGCTGAAACCATTACTGTAAATGGGCTCCCAACTACAAAGTTGCACACGGAATAGCTGCGTTTCCTGGAGAAAAAAATAATATGGTTAAAGTATTTCAGTCCATGGCTACTTTCTTGTTTTCTGAAATGTTCGAAAAAAGCTTTCATACTGCTGTGGAGATTCTTTTTAAAATGTCTGTGAAAGAAACATTTTTATGTTCATTAAAGCTGGCCTTGAAACAGCAACTAATGGGAATGCTCAATATTAAGAATCTCCTCTGGGGGACAGATTTACACTCCAAGCAAACCACTTAGGCATTTAAAAGATTTTCAAAACCAGGGCACTGAAAGATGAGGAATCTCAGCATCTGTGACAATCTGACTCCGATTTATAACACAGAGATCACTTAAAACCATGGTTGTTCTTAATGAAATAAAAATGGATGCTGTGTGATATTAAACTGACATTAAAGGAATTGCAATCACACAAAAGCACTGAGAAAGAGGAGGGGGAGAGTCGCAAAGAAATTATGCGATAAGTGAGGAGAGCAATGAATTTAAAGGAAAAAAAACTGGCAGGTTTAAATAAAAATGTACTTGTGCAATGTTATTTCTGCTTGTTCTGCTACTTTGTTGGTCTTGTTCTGATGCATGTTTCTGTAGGAAAGGAATGCATTGAACCTTTTCGATCCATTCACTTTTAATAGTAAAAGTAATTTTCTCAGGTGGGCACTGAGCAGTTGCAATTACAGTTTATTTTGCTGGAGAAATTCTTTTAAGACACTAATGGTAAGAGACATGAAGTAAGGAAAAACATCACAGCACGCCTCCCAGGCTTGATACCAGCAGCTTTGTGGAAGACCCAGAGACACTGAACAGTGTTTTTGTGTTGAAATCTCAGGGTGTTTTGTTTCAAATGTGCTTTAGCAGAGGATGACGAAAAATAATAAAAATATTCAAACTGTGCTCATACAGCCCCTGCTATACTCATTCACATGATACATTTATGCTCTACTAGAGTTGTCTAGGGGCTAGCAAAAATAAGAATTATCTGTGAAACACTCAAGCTTTCACAATTTCACATTCATTCACATGCACTCTATGGTTATTTAAAAAACAAAACAAAACACAGCATACTCAGTAATTAGGCTGCTTCTTGTAGAAGGCCACACTCTCTGGGTCCTGCTCTTTTGTTTGACTCAGAACTGCTTAAGTGTCATGTGGTACATGATAGGTACAGTGCTACATAGAGGAACTAGCAGCAAAAATTTTTTTTTTTCTTTTTTCTTATTTTTTTGAGGGGAGGATTTCTTGTGGGTTTTTTTGTTTGTTTGTTTAATAGATGGAGCTTTTTGGCCCACAGATTGTAACATCTCCTCAGAAAGTTTGGGGGGGAAGGAGGCCTTGTTTTTTTAATTAATCAAATTAATTCAGTTAGCAACATTAAGACCACCTGGTAGATGACTGTTTACTACTAAAGCAAGTCTTAAAAAGGCACACTACATATTTAGAAATGAATTTGGTTTGTTACTTTTTTTTTTTTTTAAAAAAGAATTTCCTTACACAAGTCTATTAAAAAGGATACCAGCAATAGCATCACAATGGGATAAGTGAATCACATTTCATTGCAGATGAAGACAGGATAAGTTAACTTTTTTTCCTGCTTTTGTTGTTGTTTGTTTTTGAAGAAACCTAAACGGAGAGTTTGATTTCTGATTTGTAAGTAGTTCTTTTCAGTATTATTTGGCTTTGATTTAGTTCTGGCCCAGCAGCACAAAGTATTAGCATGTGTCCAAGTCTGTCTTAGCCTGGGCTGATTTTAGCTTCAAAACAAGTAAATAAATAGTTGTCGCCTGACTGTCAGACAATCGCTACCACCTTTGGTGTAGTGATAACAAGGAATTATTCAGAACGAATTGAACTGTCCATGTTCCCAGAATAAAATGAGGTATGGAATAGAGCACACGCCCAGGATGGCACCAGAAGTCCAGGGGCACTGACAAAAGTCTCAGCTTTAATTCACAGGAATGTCTTTCATTGTTTAGCTAAAAATCAGATTTAAACAGAAAAAAAGAAAACCTGAATCATTGGTGTCCAGTGACAAGAAACAGCATGTAGGCTGCATTAAAAAAACTTACTAAAGGAAGCCCAAGCAGACTAAAGGATAAAGAGTAAGGAATTAGCAACATGGTAGTTCTTTCAGCAAAGGGAAGGTGCAAGCTCCCATCGTTACAGCCATACTCAGTGCTGACTTTTGGATGCTCATCTGAAAACCTTCTCCCTTGGGAAGGCTGAAACCACCAGTCTTCAGACCAAAGGAAACAGAGCACACCACCAGCTAAAAAGGCAGTTCTAGAAGGGGATTTTTTTTTCCTGAAAAAGATGCTTATTGTTGAAGCTCTTCCATAGTAACTTGCATTATGAAAGTATAACTGAAATGAGACTAAAGATTCAGACCATTTTATTGTTAAAGCAGGAGTAACAATAATTTCCCATTTCCACTTATGATTTTTGCTCCTACAAGATTAAATCTAATAATCACGATGTCTGTTTCCAAGGGGAAGAAAAGTAATCTATACAGAGCTCAGAACTAAGTATCTAAGATATATTTTCACAATTGACAGGAAAAAAAAATAGAAAATTAATGACAGATTACCTACTGCTTTTAAGCTAGAAAGATATTTACCCTATTAAAACTTGCAGAAATATTTTTGCTAGTTTCAGTTGCAGAGGTTATTTTTTCTTAAGCATTGTCATACAGCCATTACAATACACCCTAGAAGAGTTGAATGTGTAAAATTGTTTCAACCAGCTAGTGATTTGGGTTTTTTTATAAACAGTATTCTAATTGAATACAGCCAAACTTCGATGAATTTCCAGACACGTAACACTAATTTAAAGAAGTGCACTGTAATAATTAGTTGTGTGTGAACACATATAGATATTTGACCAATGCATCAGGGAGAAGTGTTGTAAGGACTTTTTTCTTTCTTTCCTTTTCTATTAGACTTGTGGAGTGTTAGTTGTGAGAAGGCTCTATAGATAATAAGCTTTTAGGCATACAAGCCCTTCTTTAGATCTCAAATGAAAGCAGTAAACTCAAGGTTGGGAATAATTATGTTAATTAGTTAGCCAATTTGAAAGAAAATGATGGTTGTTAGCAGCAGAGCAGAGGGTGATGTCAGCAAAGAGAAGCAGTAATAAGTTCAGTAGGTCTGGTGGGACCAAGAGGTCAGGCAGAGGTGCCATCTGGAGAAAACGACCAGACACCAGGAAGCAAGTATCTCAATGATTTTTAATGTCAAGTGCAGCTGTGAATGTTACGTATGAATATCTTCATTTTTTGAGGTTATTCCTTAAGGATTTGGGCTGAAAGATCAGAAACGCAGTTCTCCTTACTGAGATAGCCACTAGCATGAACTGCTATAAATAATTTATGAAGGTGAAATGTGTCCAGTTACCAGCAGAAGAGCACCATCTGATTTTGTCCAGAGTCTCCATAGAGGCTTTTATTATAGAACACCACTTTTGATAGTTTCGTTGTGAGGGACATAAAGTTTTCAGTCTCGCGCTAGATGTTTTGCAAATTTTCAGCTATCTCAGGCTGGTATCACTGGTCATGTTCCCTTCTGAAGGTGTGTTTAAACAAGGTTAGTGAGCCCCTTAAAGGGCAGCAAAAGGGGTACTGTTAAGAATGGTAATGTTCACAATGGGATAAAGTCCGGTACAATGAGCAACGAATGGAGTTTACTTGGTGCACAATTCTCCCAGTTTAACAAATCAGTTCCCTCAGTGAAAGAGAATTCTTTCAGCAGAGGGTGATGTGGAACTCATGTTCTCAGGAAAAAAGTAGCCCTTTAATAACTAATTCCGCCCACATCCATGATCTTTGGTACATTTCAAGTAACTGTCTCTTTTGTCAAGTCAACTACGTATGTTACTATGTTATGTAAGACCAGCATACATGGCATGTTCTTTCCATGTTATCAGACACCAATAGTAGTGTGGAAATTCTCCAGAAAAAGTTGGAGGTGGTGCAGTTACTGAATTCATGCACTTACGTGATCTTATTAGAATTTAAAAAAAAAAAACAGGAATTTATTTCAGAACCTGACAATTTGCTAAGTGACTTCAAAAATAAAAAGTCAAGAATAAAAGTCTCCTTATTCTATTTTAAATACCATAAAAATGAGAAAAGGTCTCAAGAGAGGAGAGCTTTACTTTGGAAATAGTTGAAATATGCCTAGTCTAGAGAAATATGCCTAGTCTAGAGTTCACTTTCTGTTGCTGTTTTTAATTGGAAGATTCAAAGTTCGCACTTTTTCATTAGAATCTCCTGCAAAAGTTTTATCAAAAACTCTAACAGCCCTATCAGTGCCGCATTTGCAATCATCATCATATTATAGTTAACTGGGAGATACAAGCATCATAAGTGTTTCCAAGCATGTTTCAAGCTGAAGTGACATTACTGGTCAAGTTACTTAAGTGGCAAATCTCCAGTCACAACTCACATGCTATGCAATTGTTTTTAGAAAAGGAAAAACTTCTAGTATTTTATTATAGTCGTCTATCACTTTTTTTTGCAAGAATTCACTAACACCACAGAAATCTTTTATGATTATATTAATCTTTTAATATTCAAATAGATATTATTTATTATGGTAATGGTTGCTCTATTTAATACTTCGATATTATTTGAGTACTTTGCTTAAGTATACAGCTCTGTAAGTACTACATAAATACACAGATTTTTTTTAACCCTTACAGGGGTGTCTACTGAGGCTCAAAATTACTTACGTACATTAGTTTAGAAGTAGGAATTCTACTGAAATGAGAAGAAAACTGGATTACAGGTCTCTTCCCAAAAAAGAAAAATATGTGTACGTAGAAAAGGGCTAAAAGAAGCTCAACTTTCAATTAAAGTACGCAATATCACTACATTTACCATATGAATATAGTGCTAAATCCATTCTTTGGTGAATGCTTACAGACTGGAAAAGATCCATATCTAGTTAATGAACTCTAGTCTGCTGACTTACGGAAAAGAATATAAAGAAGAATCTACATATATTATTTCAAACTGCTTATTAGATAGATAGACTTATCTATAACATATATATATTAGACAAAAATTACATTAAACTCATGTTTATAAAATTGTAAGGAAAAGTTTCACTAGTTAGAAAAAATCAAGGTTGCTTGCATAACCTCAAATCACCTCTTCTGCTTAAGCAGTACTTCACGATCTCTAGTTAAATCATCTCATGACATACCAGATGTGTGAAGTCAACACAGAAGAGCAATGTGAGGGAGCAAAGAGAAATGAAGCAAGTCTAGACTACTAACTCTTGCCCAAAAACTAATACAAACATGATGCCATAGTACAGCCCTGAAGCAAGCAGAAAATACCACTGCTTCATTAAATCGCAGACCTCGAAATCTATAAGAGAAATTTGTGGTTTGTAATTCTAAAATGCAGTTTAGTGAGCATCAGTCTAACCTGCTTAATGCTATGTATGATTCATTGTAAGAGTCCACGTTGAATAAAATCAAAAATTCTAGGACTGTAGAGCAAAATCAGCAGTTAAAAGGTAGGGGGCTTGCAAAGACTTGAAAGAGTTGATAAGTTCTTTTTGAAGAGCACGGCCACCAATTTGTGGAGACGGAAAGCTAATAGGACTGGGCAAAAGAGCTTGAAGTTAGGAAGAAAGAATAAGACATTCAGCAAGGAGACAGGAAGAAACACAAAGAAAAGTGGCTAGTACACAAAAAATAATCAGCAAGAAAGATGCGTCAATAGAAAGGAGAATAGAGGGCACCAAACTGGGATTTAGAAAGAAAGTAATTTAGGGTGTTACTGAAGAATGGCAGAGAAGATAAAAGCAAAACTAAAGGAAATGAAATAAAAGAAGTACATACGAGGCTGTAACATGTTTCTCTTCCAATGAATTGAGATGCTGTGTTTGGGAAAGTAACACAAAAACCCAGAAAATCTTACTGTGGGATAAAAATAAGTAATTGAAATGTCAGTAGAGAAAACCATGCTCTATGAGACAGATGAAGAGGAGTGACTGCTGCATGCGTATGCTCAGGAAGTATTCCCTACTCCAAGGTAACCATGAAAGAAAAAAAAAAAAAAAGAAAATGTTTTCATTTTTTCATCTCAGGCAGAAAAGGAAATGAAGTTTCCTATAAAGTTCACTGGCAAAACATACATGAGATGAAATCTTGAAGCAGACAGCAGATAATGAAATTAGTCAGAGAGTCATTAGAAAATATACCAATTTTAACAGAGAAAACTTTTTTGGAATAGGAATACACAGTGCAGAACCAATTATTTTCACATTCATTCAGCAGATACATCTCCTAACGTAACAATTTGAATCCTAGAAAAGAGATACACAAAGTAAAAGAGAACTATACAGGGAACGTACAATTAACAAATGCACAGTTCAAAGAGTGATATGGTTAGGATGGTATTTTCAGGTTCATAGAAAGATTATCATGGTGGAAGAAGGCAGTCAAAATTCAAATGCTTACCTGTGTCTGAGGCTCATAGCAGAGAACTCTAAAAGAAGAGATCTCTAGAAAGAAACCCTTACCCAGTGGCATTCAACCCTTAAATGAGGTCTAGAAGAGGTGCAGCCAGGTTCCACCCCTTCGGGTCAAACAGCTGAATTGCCTTCACCTGTGCTCCCAGGGATGACTCAGTCCTTGCTTCAGGTGATCAATCAGTGGTTCAGACTCAACAGTTCCCATACAGGTAGCTAATCAGAAAAATTCCTGCTAAAATTAGAACTCCTTTTTAATGCTCTGTTTCAGTAATAGATACTTCTCATCTGTGCTCAGGAGGATATGAGCTTCGTCATATTTGACAGCTAGAACAAAAAACAAAACATCAACAACAAAAAATAAGTGTCCTCTTTTCATATTATTGCTCTTACCTCATTTTTGCTGAGCTACTGCCCCATCTACATCAAATGCCCTGTGGAAAACAACGTCACTCATCATAACAGGAGTCCTAATTCTGTCCCTTCTGTGGGAGTTTCTCCTCCATAAAACAGATAAAAAGCAGTGTCTGACTAATTTATTAATTGCTGTTAATCTGTAGACAACAAAACTGCTTCAATTTAAAACTTGGAGGATCCTAAATTGTAATTATTTTAAAAAATAAATAAATAAATAAAAGAGAAATAAAGAACAAAAGCCCAGAGCAGAGGAAATGTCTTGACCTGGGGGTGCACTGAATTCAAACAAAGCACCATCTCCAATTAAGTAATTCAGTTCTGTGCCTGGGATTTGAGCTACCGCTCTGATTTCTTTGGCATATGAGAAACGTAGAAGCAGACCTCTGAGGTCTGGATTACATTCTGGAGCACAGATACCTGAAATATTGTCAGTTATAACACTTCTTAAATACTAAAATTCTGATGTGTGATAATTCTCTTCCAATGTCCTCAAGTATCTTCAGCTGCAAGTGATTTCAATAGGACAAGTGTGCACTGTACAAAAAAATTGGTATGTACGAGAAATCCTCAGGAAAATAACCGAAAACTGAAGTTCCTCAGAATAGATTGTCATCAAATTATCCTGAGTACAACTACAGAGATTTCTTGAAGACCATTCGAGGATGAATATATTTTAAGAAAAAGGAGAGCCTCTAGAGAATGACTGTATCAAAAATATCATACAGAAACACTGCTGAGATACAACAGCAGATCAAATTATATTTACTGGTACACCAAAATGAAAGCCTTCTTCCAAGCAGGGAAAGCACTTTGACCAATGTGATACGCTGCTTGTAAGTTTACTGTGCGGTTCCAGATAGATTTTTATTTCAAGAAAATGTATTGCACAAAAAAGAAATAAACATATCAAAGACTATATTTGGAAGCACGTTATCTCAAAGGCTAAATTTTCACACTGCTTCTGTAAGATATCACAGTTAATCAGATCAAAAAACAACTGTTTGATCTTTTCAAGTATCTTTCCAAGCTAACAAGTATCTATGTTATTGCAGCTTTTTCATGTTTGAAGGAAAATTTTAAAAAGGAGTTATCCAGAAAGAAAGGTCTTTTGCTAATATAATATGTAAATTCTGCTGTTCTTCCACTCTTTCTGGCTAAGCTTTTGAAGATTTATATTGTTTAAAAGCTGAGGACCACACATACTCAATCCTACAACATATTTCTAACGATGATTTCAACTCAGGACTACATAATTACTTACCCATATCCATTAATGGTTCAGAAGACACTCTTCACAGAATTTACAATTTGAATATGCTCTGCAGTAGCAAGAAATTCTTCAGATTAGTTTGTACAGCCCTACCATCTGCAAGATCCGTAGGTAAAAGTCTAGTTTTATAAGTCCACAAACACCTCCCCGTCTCTTAGAATCTATCTTTCCTAAATGGAAGATTATCCTGAAATATCAAATCTTTGTTTGGTTCCCAAATTGAAATAACTTCTTCACACAGTTAGAATATTTTCAAACAACAAGCATTTTCCAACATACATTTATCTTTTATCCTTGTAATACATGTATTTAAGTCTATTCAAGTCTATAGAACTCTTGCATTCTCAGATTTCCTTGGCTCTATTTGCATTGTGCTCACATTACTGTCTCCTCTGCGATCAGACATACTCTTCATTTTCATGTTAATGGCATCAATTAATAATTTTGAATGACATTTCCTGTTTTTGTTGTTGCTGCCCTGACAGAATTTCCCTTTAAAATGCCTCTGCTAGAGACCTGGTCACAGCTGTATGTGAACTCAGGAAAAGCTGTGCTCTCTTGCAATTCTCCCTTGTTGAGACCTCCTTGACTGCACATAGGAAACAGTAGTGAGTCAATAGCCATCAATCAATTATTCTGTCCAACTTTTAAGGTCTCATTTCATAGTGGACAAAACACTAGTTCAAAGAGTTCACTTTTACTTTCAGATCAATGATGCTTAAGCATATTAAATATTTTCAGAAGCACACAGCAGTCTGACATCCCATCAAACTGAGCATGAAAAATATTACTTTGTTACCCTTTGTATGTAATATCTCTGTAGAACAACTGACAGAATACATTTGTCTTGATGTATGACCCTCAGCAAACCCAGCTCATTAATAAAAGGAGATCAATAATGTTCTTACTGTTTGGGGGTCACATTCTGATAATGTTTCTGATAGCATAAGAAAAAGAAAATAGATGAGCTGGAGGTTGTTCCACTGGATACATGGCTCTATGTCAACTGGCATTTTGACCAAAATCCAAGCACTGGCAGACTGTATTTCATCTGCTCCTACTCTTCTACCAGTTCTCTTTATTACTATCTATTTTCTTGCATATTTATTACACTGAGTTTTCTCAAGAACAGACCGTAGTAAAGCAGAATATTTACCAAGTATACTTTGTTTTAAAAAGCCTCCCACATAGAGAGTCATACGCCAGAAGATAGAAAATTGTTGAAAATGACCTTATACCAAACATTATCAACTATTACTAAGTGTTCTGGAGCAACAATGCCTACACATTATCCTCCATAAATTCAGTTATATAACTGATTAACTCTATTTTTTTTTTTTTTTTTTTTGTTAGGTAAGAAACGTGCTGCACCTATAGAGGGACGCAATAGTTATTTCTTCCCATCAGACCTGAAGTTCTGCGATTTATTACAAAATATGTTATTGAAATTTCACATGTAACAGTTACAGCAACAGAGTTCCTCAGTTGTACAGCTGAGAAAATGAGAAAAGAAGAAAAAAAAAAAACAAATTTTTTTTTTTTTTTTTTTTTTAATGGGGAAGCCTTGGTTTTTTGTTTGTTTGTTTCATTTTATTTGGTTTTTTGCACAGGACTTGCCTACTTAAAATAGGATGTATTTAATAGTTTGTGGAGCTCCAGTACAGAAGTGTGGAATTACAAAACTTGTAAGTCTCTCAGTTCCCAGAACCCCTCAACATATTGAATCACATTTTCTTAAGATAATAGTAACTTATATCCTCTTGTTCCATACGTAAGTATATTCAAAGCATGTATAAACAGTGAACTCAATACTTTCTTTTCACTGCTCCGAAAGCAATGCCTCCTACTTTATGATGCTGGCCTATGACATCAAGACACAAACAGTGGTATGGAAACAGAAGTTGAATTTTCTGGCCAATATTCCATTACTTTTTGTTGCCATGTGACAGATGGCAGCCGAAGGGCACTCTGACAAAATGGCATTTGACACGGAGGTGTGTATTAAGCACAGGTGTGGAAGTAAATTCCTCCATGCTGAAAAAATGGCACTCAATGACACTCACCAACACTTGCTGACCACTTATGGAGATCAAACAGCGGATGACACAACAATGAAGCAGTGGGTGATGTGTTCCAGCAGTAGCAATAGAGAAAGATAAGCCATGTTCTAGGCAGCCATATGCATTTTGATCAGCTCATTCTCACGAATCAGCAGATTAACACTAGGGAACTGTTTATTGAGTTGAATATGAGCCTCAGTGCAGTGGAAATGACAATGCTGCCAACACTGGAGTGTAGCAAAGTTTGCACCAGGTGAGTTCCACAAATATTTGTACAGGAACAGAAAGACTACGCTATTTATGTTTATCAGGAACTACTGAACCAATATGAGACTGAAGAAGACAGTTTCCTGGATCTCATAATTACCAGCAATGAGACATAGTGGCATCTCTACTAGCTGGTGTCAAAACAGTCCATGGAATGGCAATGTGAATTCCCCATCAAAATAGAAAGTGCAAGACACAGCTCTCAATGGGTTAAAGTAATGTACACTTTAGAGGTGGGAAAGTGATGATCCTTCTGGATTGCCTGGAATCTGAATAAACCATCAGGTCTGACTGCTGCAGTGCAATGCTGACTAAACTGAAGGCTCAACCTTCTGGAATCAGGCCAGAGAAGATGACACCCTTTTGCCAGATGATAGACACCAAGCCCTAAACCTCTCTGTAAACCACATGGCCAGCCTTGGCCGGACTACCCTACACCATCAGTTGTTTAGTTTGGATTTCTCACCTTCTAACTTTCATCTGTTTGTGTTGATAAAGGATGGACTGTGTGAGCAACTTTCTCTTAGCAATGATGCCATCACAGCAGCTGTGGAACAATGGGTCATGTCTGCAAATTTTTACAAGCAGGGCATGGAAGCTCTTGTTCATCACTGGTGAAAATACATAGGTACTGGTAGTGACTGTGTTGAAAAATACTGTTTTGCAGCTGGACATTTTCTTTCTCAAACAGAGTTACTGCACTCTTTGTTGTAGTTTCCTTGGAACTAAATAGAAAGCATATATTTTGGAGAAACCTATGTATTTTCAACAAGATTTCCTATCAGATTCTAATCTTCTGCATTTCCTTGATCTGCTGGGTTAGGAACATGAGGAATATTTTGGTCTACACTGCCTTCTTTTTATTAGCAAATGTACAAGGAACAAATACTCTAACCTTTTTGTTAACATTTATTTATATATTTTTTTTTTTTTTACTTTTTCTACTCCTTTCTGGGCATGGCACGATTAATTAAATGCTACAGATATGTGTTAGCCTTAAGAAAATGTCCGAAGTCTGAATTTATGCTTGGTA